GCCCATTGCTGAACTTCCCTGCGGTAAACCACATATGAAGCTAAATAAAGCAAACATCTTCCCATAAAGGAAAGATCCAAGCAAAACTACCTGCCCTAGTGGGACAGGAATTGTTTACCACGACAGTAAAAGTGATTTTTTTTCTGAAGATATTTGTAAACAACGCGATTTAACAGCTTTTGAACGTGGGAAGATTGTTGGCGCGAGTATCAGCAAAACAGCAGAATACGTTAAATGTTCAAGAGCAGCTGTTGTTAAAGTGTTTAAAGACTGGACTGTCAGCCGAAAATCTGGGTCTGAACGTGCAAATTGTGGCCGTCAGCGACTAAGCAATGTGAGGGCAGAGTGGCAAGACTGGTACAAGACAACAGAAGGGCAACAGTGCAGTTTCAGATTCCTCGCATCACCTTTCAACATCTCGCGTAGTCACAAGGCGGCCCAACGAAGTCATCATGTGGAGTCATCTCGAGGCCCAACGAAGTACTGATGGGGTGGTCATAATAATCTGGCCACTCGGTGTATATCCCCATCCTACAAAAATTCTCATTCCCTTCCAGCATACAATGAAATGCCAACTGCTGATCTTTTTAAAATTGTTAGTTGATTGGCTGTTATGTGAATCTATTCAGAACATTTTGAGCCCCTCAATCAGAACGAGTACGATCAGTCAAATTAGTGAAAAGTCATTTGCATGCTCGTACCATGCTAGTGACTCAACGCAAGTATGTGGTATGTCAGTATTATCACAAGGCAAAAGCATTTTCAAAAGTAAAAAATGGCAAGCTCCATATCTCTATCATTGATTCTATATCATATTTTACTTAAAGTGGCATTAAAAGGCAAAACAAGTGATGCCTCTTGATCCTATCATCTTCTTTCCAGGAGTTTTCAGCTGTCCCACCAGCGCTGGTGCCAGTCTCTGATCCAGCGCCGACTCCTCTCTCTTCCTGGCACTTCCTTTCCTACGGAGTCTGTGCGGGTTCACACTGCTGCATTAACTTATCCTTGTGTCTCTCCTCTTCTCCCGGCCGAAGATCTGTACTGTGCATGTGCCCGCCCCATGATCCTTTGCGGCCGCCCGAGAATCTTCAGATCTTCGGACGGGAGTGCACGGCGGAGACACTGGTAAGTTTTAACCCTTTTTAAAAATGTTTTTGCATTTATCTACTGCTTGTGAACAGTAGTTCTATGCAAAAACATACAAGGCTTTAATTATCCTTAAAGTGCACGCACACACACACACACACACACACACACACACACACACACACACACGGGGGGAAATATCGAAGTCATATTCTCATCAAAAAACCACAACATTGGTTTTAACATGTGCAGAAATCGCTGCTTGTATTCTCCATCAGAGGCCCATGACAGGGTGACAGAAAAGAGTGTCGTCACCCCTATAACAGGACATGCTTGAGCAAGGATCTTCATGGCAGGATCAACAGGTATATTGATGAAAGTTGCAGATTTTAAAAGATTGAAATGACATACATTAATACAAAAATCATGTTAAAGCCAATATGAGATCTTAGATTACATCTGCTGCCTGGAAATGTAAAATATGCAATATTCAGATACAATATATTTTATATTTAACCAGTATATGTATTTTACATAAAAGCAGCAGAAATATCATTATCTGTCCCAATATAAGCCTTATGTAATCCCATTCACAACAACACTGCGCACAAGCTAGGAAAGGGTCAGAACTCAAAGCTATTGGGGGTCTACTGTCTTGCTTAGTGCTATCACTCATAGTGAGAAGTTGCCTGCAGGGGAGGAAAACACAGGTGTCTAGAGTTCAGTGCACACAAATGAGAATACATGATGACATGAACCATAACCGACAATACATAATGACATCAACCATGACTTACAAGGTCACTTACATGATTAGAATGATTGACATGAGAAATCCTCTTCTTCTGGCTAGGGAATGCTGCTGTCATATTGGGTCCAGAATTCTCTGTACCGTCTTCTTTTAGCTAACAAAAAACAAAAAAAACCCCACAAATATGTGTTTTGTTAATATACCATGTACAAAGGTTTGTGTGGGATTTACATATAGTTACATAGTTACATAGTATTTGGGGTTGAATAAAAACATACGTCCATCAAGTCCAACCATATAAGTCCATGCATCATCTCATTCTTAGGGATACTGGTATCCCTGGATATTACGGTCCCTCAAGAAATTGTCCAAACGTTTCTTGAACAAATCTACTCTTGGCTGAAATCACTGCCGATGGCAGTGAGTTCCAGACCTTAACCGCTCTTACTGTAAAGAACCCTCTTCGCCCATTGTGCTGGAATTTTTTCTCCACCAACTTTAGGTGGTGGCCTCTAGTCTTTGTAATGGAGTTAATCTCAAACAGTTTGTTGCCAATGTTGCTGTCACCATTGAACATCTTGTACATGAAAATCATATCCCCCCTTAATCTGCTTAATTCCGGCGTAAACATGTTTAAGGTCAGAAGGCTTGTCTCATAGCTCTGGTCCTCCATTCCCCTAATTAGTTTTGTTGCCCTCCGCTGGACTCTCCAGTTCAAGGACATCCCTTCTCAGTGCCGGCTACCAAAACTGGACCACGTACTCCAGATGTGGCCGAACCAACGATCTATATAGAGGCACAATTATAGACTTGTCCCTGCAATACATCCCTTTCTTAATACAGGACAAGACCCTGCTAGCTTTATTTACCGCAGCTTGGCACTGCAAGCTACCATTCAGTTTGTGGTCTACAATGACCCCCAAATCTTTTTCTATTTCTGACTTCCCTAGCGGCATACCCATGATTGTATAGCCTATTTGTTT